CAATACATAACATAACCCAGACAAAGTGTTTATGCTGTTTCTGTGTGCTATGTTCTCTTAATCCTTGCAACAACTTGAGTTATGGCAATTACTCCGTTAAACGCTTATTGTAAATGAGGACATCAGGTCTCGAGGACAAAGTCATAGAGCTTCTAATTTGTGGAATTGCTGATAAAAAGCACATCAATTCCATGATACCACACCACCACCAAAAAAAAAAAAAAAAAAGACAGCTGAAAGCTTAAGTAATAAGGTAAAATATCATCTTATTTGACCAGTGGAGATATTGTATCAGAATCTTGTTGAATTGTAATATTTTAGTTTGTCTTAGTGTTGGAAGAGAAGCCCTTTTTAGAATGAAAAACACTCAGTCTTAATTACAGTAGTATTATTTAGATGTAGCTTTGGGTAATAAATTCATTCCCACAATTCCTGTTAAATACCAAATATACCACCTTACCTGTTTATCTAATACATTAACTGGCTTTGGTTTTATTTCTGTTTCTATTCATTATCTTAGTAGCTTGAGTATTTACACATACTTGTTTAATAAAAGTTATTTGATCAACTCAACCTGTGAGACAATTTTGAAACGCTGTTCTTAGAATGAAAGGAAGCTATTTTATTTTGGTCAAATATAATAAGACTTCTAATCACGTGAAGTTTTTTTTTTTTTTTTCTGTTTTCGCACATCCAGTCCATCTCAAGAGAAATTTTCAGCATCTTTAGACTATCCTAGCCAACCTGCCTCAGGTGGTGTGTTCACTCAGGACGCAGTGTTTGGACTTGAGACTTATAAATGCACAAGCACTGACCTTGTGACCATGGAGGACCTACCAGATGCCAGCACTGGACTCCAAGTTGAATGGATGCAGACTAGTTCACTTGGGAACGTCAATGCTCCAAGTATGCACACATGCTCAATCTTAAGTGTGCCATAAGAACAATAGCATGGGAAAGCTTTTCCATGAAAGAACTCAGTGTGGGGACGGAGTAGAAAATAAACTTAGACTTGCAGCTACATCACAAAATAATTCACTACAAGCACATTTGAAATCAGTCAATCTATTTTAATCTTGAAAGGCACCAAGATCGCTACTGTTAGAAAAAGGAACTAGGGGCCTGGAAAGATGGCTCATTGGTTAAGAGAACTTTTGACTGCTCTTCAAAAAGACTCAGATTTGGTTTTCAGCACACATATGATGGCTCACAACCATCTATAATTCCAGTTCTGTTAATCTGGAATCCCCTTGTTATGTCTCTGGGCACCAGGCATACAAAAAGTGCACATATACATATGCAGGCAAACATACACATAAAGTATACACATAAAGCAAATCTTCCAAAAAAGCTTTTCAAAAAGAGTTCAAGGTTGAGAGTTTGCTATTTGTCAAACATATAATCTAATATTACCTTCACCCCTGTATGTAACAACAATTAGTCAAGACTGAATATTAAGAGATATCTTCCTCTGTCCCTTGTTATACAGAAAGTCTTGCATAGTAACTGAGAACATAAAATCAGGAGATAGACTAAGTTCTAAGGCAAGGCTCCAATTCCCAGCCTCCCCAGCCACGTTATGGTGCTTCTCTTTAAATGGATGTTAGTTGGAGAGATGACTCAGGTTGAGTACTTGCTGCTCTTCCCAAGGACCCAGGTTCAATTCCCAGCACCACATGATGTCTCACAACTGTCTGGGACTTCTGAGTCCAAGGAATCTGATGCTTTCCCATATACATACATGCAGACAAACAAACAGGCCAGGCGGTGGTGGCACACACCTTTAAATCCAGCACTTAAGATGCAGAGGCAGGTGGGTCTCAATGAATTTGAGGCCAGCATGGTCTACAAATGAAGTTCCAAGACAGCTAGGACTGTTACACAGAGAAACCCTGTCTCAAAGAAAAAAAAAAGTTAAATATATCTTAAAGTGAAAGTTATACTAGTAACTACCTTAAAGGCTTACTGTAAGAACTAAATGAGTTACTAAATCTCAGAACTATGTTCTGTATATTCTAAGAAAGCAGTAACCATGTAGGAGAGTAGCCTTTTCAAAGCACCAACAGACAGAATGTTTTATAACATCAAATTGGAGAGAAGACTTTGTCCTCCTTTAGGAATTGTTTTCCCTTTTGTGTACACGGTATTCTCGTTGATGCGCATTGTGTGTAGGTAGTGTACTTTGTGTGTGTTAGTGGGGGAAACAGTGAAGAGTATATGTCTGAGCACACTAAAAGCAACTAAATAATAATGGCCAAGTATACTTCAAGGCATGGAGCTATAATTTTTGAAGGCACAAATTCTGCCACTCCAAATGAGTCAGGAAGCAGCTAGTTGATTCCCTTTGTCACAACTGGATAGTCTAAATTTGTAGACCTAACGTGACAATAATGACAATATCAATTTTAGCTTCTTTTATTATTGGATGCTCTAGGATAAGATTTTTTTTTTTTTTTTTTTTTTTTTTTTTTTGGTTTTTCGAGACAGGGTTTCTCTGTGGCTTTGGAGCCTGTCCTGGAACTAGCTCTTGTAGACCAGGCTGGTCTCGAACTCACAGAGATCCGCCTGCCTCTGCCTCCCGAGTGCTAGGATTAAAGGCGTGTGCCACCACCGCCTGGCTCTAGGGTAAGATTTTGAAAGCTTATTTAGTGAATGCTTTTACTTAATTATCTAAAATTCCTGTTAAGATATTTGAATGCTGAATTTTTTTTTTCTTTTTTCTATTTAAGACTTTACTATTGAGAACCCATGGGATGACGAATTGATTCTTAAACTTCTGTCTGGGCTTTCTAAACCAGTGAGTTGCTATTCAAATACTTTTGAGTGGCAGTGTAAACTTCCAGCTATCAAGCCCAAGACAGAATTCCAATTGGGTAAGAATTGCATTGGGTAATAAAACTTTGAATTCTTGTTTATGAGAAACTTATAGTAACTCAAAGATTCTTCTACCCTTTCCACCTTCAAGAAAGAGTTAATACCTACAGTATTGAGAAATTTTGTTAAGATATGATAGTAGAATTGTGATTACTGTTGGGACTTTCATTGGACAATCTATCAAGAGTTAAAAATGCATGTACTCCAAGCTAGAGAGATGGCTCAAAGGTTAAGAGTACTTTCAGAGCCGGGTGTGGTGGCACATGCCTTAATCCCAGAACTCGGGAGGGGAGAGGCAGACAGATCTTTGTGAGTTAGAGGCCAACCTGGTCTACAAAGCAAGTTCCAGGACAGCCAGGACTGTTACACAGAGAAACTCTGTCTTGAACATCATCATCACCACCAAGAGAGCAATTTCAGGAGACCTCAGTTTGGGTTCCAGTGCCCGTATTCAGCAGCTCACAACCACCTAAATAAAAAACTCTTCAAAATACAAAATTGTTCTAACCATCCTAAACTTTTATAAGTATTAACATAGTTATGCTTTGCCTTTCTTATTCTCCTGTAAAACATGTATATTTTCCAAAAAGCTTTACAGATTTCTACATAGTCTTCCTAATACCTCAACAGTTGTGCAGAGCTGGCACCACAGGTAATGGAAGGGCCAGTACCCAAGGCCACACATAAGTATACTGGGCCATCAGAGCTGCCCTCACCCGTTTAGAGAATTTGTAAGGAGGCACTTTGGGGCAGATGTATGTTTTACTTTCATTTAAGTCTGGGAAAACTTCCCCAGATTAAACCCATTTTAATTTATTAAAAGTAGTTCAGGCACCAGGAATTCTTCACTTGGACAGTCCTTATGGCTTTTTGTCAATTTGACATACTTATCTTCCAAGGTTCTTTCCTAATCTATGTGACTCACCTTCTTGGAGAAGGGGCCTTTGCCCAAGTCTATGAAGCTGTTCATGGAGATGAGAATGATACCAGAAGTAAACAGAAATGTGTTTTGAAGGTAAATGAAATGAGTAACTTCTTGTATGGTGTATATGTAAATTTTAGAAGTTATCTTCCTCTGTCCACTCCCCATTAAATACTGATGTCAATGAAGCCTTAGTCAACAGTTAAACAGCTATCCTACGAAGACTCGGAATTGTCTTACCACTAAGATTATCCTGCCAGCCCTATACTGCTGATGAGTGCTTAGCTTGTCCTTGCTTTTTGTCAACATCCTTAACTGGGAGGAGTTGCTTTCTTGCTATTCTTTTACAGAATATGGATAAGGATATGCATAGCACATACCTGATTTGATTTGTAGGTTCAGAGACCTGCCAATTCCTGGGAATTCTACATTGGGATGCAGCTGATGGAGAGACTAAAGCCAGAAGTGCATCACATGTTCATCAAGTTTTATTCTGCTCACTTATTCCAAAATGGCAGTATATTAATAGGGGAGCTCTACAGCTATGGGACATTACTAGTAAGTAATTTTCATGACATGAACATGAAATGCATGTACATTTCTGGTTTTTACCTGTACTATTTTTCACAATTGGAACTTTTATTGGGATAGAAAGCAGGCGTAAAGCCCTTGACTTGAAATTTCATTAATCTTCTGCAGCCAACTTAGGATACCATTTGCATTATTTCTAGAATGCCATTAACCTCTATAAAAACACCCCTGAAAAAGTGATGCCCCAGGCTCTCGTCATCACCTTCGCTATCAGAATGCTTTACATGATTGAACAAGTCCACAGCTGCGAAATCATTCATGGAGACATTAAGCCAGATAACTTCATACTAGGACACACGTAAGTGTGACACTTGAGTGGAGTTCTTCCCTAACATTTCATTGATACCCTTTGTTATTTGTGCTTATATTATTTATTGACACATGCTTGTTTGTATTGATGTAGGTTTTTAGAACAGAATAATGAAGATTTAGCTACTGGCTTGGCACTGATTGACCTGGGTCAGAGTATAGATATGAAACTTTTCCCTAAAGGAACTGCATTTACAGGAAAGTGTGAAACATCTGGTTTTCAGTGTCCTGAGATGCTCAGTAACAAGCCTTGGAACTACCAGGTATGGACGGAAAGCAAGAGGTTTGAAAACATTACACTTACTAGACTTTTAAAATGAGTTTAGAGCTTCAAGTAGTTTGAACTGGTCTCTTGGGCACTGAAGGAAAAGTAGAACGTAAGGCTGAAGAAAAAGAAATTCTACTTTTGAAGAGTCTTCCTCTCTTAATACAGATTCTGTCAACAGAGCAGAAAAGCAAATACATTCTGTGAGAAAGTTTCAGAGTTTTCAGCAGAGTGAAATATTAGTTGACAATTCAGGAAGATACTGCTAATTAGGATAAATGTAAAGTTTTTGAGCCTAGTTTAAACCAACTGCCCAGTTTCCAGATAAGATCTGTGGCTTCCAGAAGACCATAATAAAGGGGGCACAAGTGAGGGCTTTATATCTAGTTCGTTACTCCCAGTAATGCTTCAGGTAGATAAGTGCTGTTCTGGAGGTGGATAGTAGACATTGTGTTAACCACAGATTTGGACCATGCTAGAGTGTTCTGTTCTGTTATATAGATATCACACAGAGGCATTGATGTGTAGTTACACAATAACCACCAGAGTCCCAGAGGATAGAATTGGGGGAGCTGCCAAACTGACAGATTGTTGTGTTTGCACCAAGTGAAAGAGCAGAGGATTTCAGAATTCCATAAATGTAAAACCCTATGGTTCTTGAGCTTCTAAGTTAGAGACCTATTTAAATACTCACACGTAAGTTACTGTTTACATTGCATATGTCTGTTGTCTTCATAGATTGATTACTATGGAGTTGCTGCAACAGTGTACTGTATGCTCTTTGGGACGTACATGAAAGTCAAAAATGAAGGAGGAGTCTGGAAACCTGCAGGTCTTTTTAGAAGGTCGGTTATTGGCATTGGTACTATAGTAATAATAATAATAACAGCAAAATAGTTGATTTTTATCTAGCTAGAAAATGAACCTGGGTAGTAGATTTTGGTAATAGAACATAATCCTCACATTAGGCACTGATCAAATCTAGCATTCAGTGCCTTGTAAAACCATTGAGAACTGACTGTGTGGGTTAGCATTCTGTTCTTTTTTTTTTTTTTTTTTTTTTTTGATTTTTTGAGACAGGGTTTCTCCGTAGCTTTTGGTTGTAGACCAGGCTGGCCTCAAACTCACAGAGATCCGCCTGCCTCTGCCTCCCGAGTGCTGGGATTGAAGGCGTGCGCCACCACCGCCCGGCTTAGCATTCTGTTCTTGACCGTTTTTATTTACTGTAAGTGAAGTCAATGTTGGCGAACCTTGGGGTTTTGTTTGTTTGTTTTCTTGTTTATGTAAATGGGAATGATGATGATTCTGCTTTGCTCAAATTTTATAAGCAAAGAAAATAATACAGGTGAAGTGGTTTTGTAAATTATAAATAAAATGAGGTAACTTCTGTTACAAGACAGGGTTTTTAAGCTTCAGCCCTATGTAACTTTAGTTTATAAAATACTTAAAGGTTAATGATTCGTTTGGAGCTTATCATGTCAGCATTGTCCCTTAAGTAACACTCTGTGAACATACCACTGGTGGTATTGACTTGAAGCTGATTATTCTATACACATATGTTTCCATATATCATATTAACTTTTTTTGAGATATAAAAACATATACAGGGAAAAAAATCACTCATGTGTTAGCCTAATGGAATTTTACATGTTTATTCCTTCCTGAAAAAGATGTATAGTATGAGGTTTTCCTCATTCTCCCACCCACTCACTATCAAAGCAGAAAAGGAAAGAGTTTGCAGAAATTTTATATACATCATGTACAGTAGATTTGGAACCCAAAAGAAAACTTAACAACAGTTGTCCTTTATTCTGTATGGAGCCATCAAATTCAGCAAGTACTTCATTCACATTGTTTCCCTTGCTCATTATCAAAGGACCAGAGGGTCCAGAAGGCCTCCGTCTATTGCCAGAAGCATATAAAATAGCCAATGCTTCTTTCTCAGTTTCCATCTAGAATGGCATTTTAGTATGTACTGCTTTCTCTCTCTCCAGGGCCTTTTCTCCCTGTTTTGAAGTTTTTGTTTTTGGCTAAGACCCTTAAGTGTGAGCTCTGTCCTAAAGAGTGCAGCCACAGCCTCCTTGTCTAGATACCTTGCTATATATACAGTTAGGCTTATCATAACCAAGTACTAGATTATCAGATTCTGGCAGTGTGGTATACAAGAAGCCAAACGAAGGCATATTTTCTTTAAAAGATGATTTTTCTACTAAAGAACTATTGCTCAAACAATATTTGGTTGGGTTTTTAATTCCTCCTGTGTATGATGAATTCTTGGTTTGCTAAGATGCAGACAGGTGAGGGCTGTTCTTTTAACATGTTCACACCTATGGAAAGTAAATGCATGAACAGGTTGCTATGTATGTTAAAGTTGCATTTTTTCTATTGTGATATTTTATCTCTTCAGGCTTCCTCATTTGGATATGTGGGAGGAATTCTTTCATGTCATGTTGAATATACCAGATTGTTATCATCTGCCATCTTTGGATTTGTTGAGACAAAAGCTGAAGATATTATTTGAACAACAGTATACCAACAAGATTAAGACCCTACGTAATCGGCTAATTGTGCTGCTCTCAGAATATAAGCGGTTGAGAAAATAAAATATGGATATGGACCTTATCCAAAAACATTTTGTAAATTTAAACTCCCTCCCACATTGAATCCTGTTTTTTTTCACACTTTTATTTATGTATGTTCAAAAAAATAAAGTCCATAAGGTACACCATGTGTTGTTATAAATATTCTAATGAAATTGACAAAGGACACCCATGTGAAGCAGGCCAATCAGTTGGGTTGCTCTTTGCGTCGTACAAGTTGTCATGAGAATGATTCAAATTTAAATGCCTTCTAGAGGGGCTGGAGAGATGGCTCAGAGGTTAAGAGCACTGGCTGCTCTTCCAGAGGTTCTGAGTTCAATTCCCAGTAACCACATCATGGCTCACAATCATCTATAATGAGATCCGGTGCCCTCTTCTGACCCACGGGTATACATGCATACAGAACACTGTATACATAATAAATAAATAAATCTTTCCTACTGAATATGTCAAGAAGTGTGAAATATTGGTACTTGTGTCAAGCCACATACCACTATATCTTCTAAGGAATATCATGGTTTTCATTGTTATGGCTGTCAAATTTCTCATAAAGTTTTTCTTTTAAGCTGCAGAATAGCAGTTATTGTTTTTCAATAAATGTTCTATATTTACAAAGAAAAAAAAATAAATGCCTTCTAGAAATCACCTTTCTAAACATTGAGCTATTTAAGTCCAAAGTAGGCCAGAAGGACTTAAAATGTACATTTAGTTAGCATATCTTGGATTAGGTTTCATTATGGCACTTTCAGACAAAATTTGTTTTTGTTGATTTTTCTCCCCCATCCTTCTGACCTGTTCGTACTCATAACACACCCTCCCCCCCTAGCTTACTCTCTGCTTTCATGTCTCATCTATCTGTGTCCCTTCCTCAATATTTCTTTTCCTTCTCAAGGTCTTTTAGTTTCAAAGCTACCGTTACTGTTAGCCCCACTTATCTGCATATAAACATTATAAGTTAGGGTCTGCACATTGAATATGCTATATATTTACCCCCATCTGAAACATAGCTGGGAAAGTTTCTCCCCATTGTGTGCTGTCTCTTCACTCTGCTGATAGTTTCTTTTCCTATGTTACTGGAGTTGTATTCAGGAAGTTTTTGCCTGCATCTATGTTTGGTTGCTTTAGTTTTGCTTTGGGTTTAAGATAGGGTCTCTTTAAGTAACCCTGTCTGGCATGGAGCTCATAGAGATTTGCCTGCCTCTGTCTCCCAAGTGCTGGGAGTATCTGCAACTAACTCCCATGGTAGTTATGCCAGGGTCCACGAGGCCCTGTTCCTGTGCCACTGCCACATATATCAGGCTTTTGACTTGTTGTTTTGGCAGGTAAATAGCATTTCACTCTAGTCTTGATTTACATTTCTCTTACAGATATATCCGTGTTGTTTTTTTTTTAAATTTGGCTAGGCACGTGTTTTTTTTTTTTTTTAGTGAACCTCTATTTGTTCGTTTTCTGTATGTCGTCTTTATTTTATAAGACATGTATATAACTTCAAATTATCCTAAATTGGCATCTGTGTTTTGACTAAAGATTTCTGCTTCTGTGAAGAACTTAGAATTCTGCTTTATAGACTGATTCATGGTCTTAAATAGCATTTGACTTCTATGTCTTAAAATGTTATCCTTAACTGAAAAAAGAAAAGGTCTAGTTTTTTCAAAAACTAGTAATAGTTTAAATATTTAAGACTATCTTTTCTGGTTTATTTTAAATACCCCCCCCCATACATTTTTTCTTAGCTGGGAGTTTGAATATATGAAACCTGTTGGTTTCAGCTGATTCTTCGAAGTTTCCATATTACTATCTTTTTGTTTTGTTTTGGGGGTGGGTTTTTTTTTTTTTTTTTTGGTTTGGTTTTTTTTCAAAACAGGGTTTCTCTGTGTTGCCCTAGCTGGCATGGAGTTCAGAGATCCACCTGCCTCTGCTTCTCAAGTGCTGGGGATCAAGGCATTTGCCACCACCACCCTGCATCATATTATTGTCTATATGAAAGCAGTGTGTATCGTGTGTCATTCCTGTTTTTGCCATATCTTTGTGTTAATGGTTACTACCTAGAAAATGATGTTAAATAATGGTGCAATGCTCCTGGACATTCTACTTCAGTGGGAAACCTTCCTATGTTTAACTATTAAACTACAAGATACTCTCTTAATATGGTTATTTTAAGTTAGTATCTATTGATACTGTTGGTTTTCTTGCCTGAATTTCCATCTGTATTGATCCAGCTGTATACTAACCCCCTTTATTAATGACATTTGCACTACTCTGAAAGGTCAGTGCGTGTGCAGTAGGGGATCCCAGACAAACCAATCTGTCCTGGACTCTGTCAGTCAAGGCAACATTAGAGAAAAGCCTCCATCGTATTGTAACTGCCAGTGTATTTTAAATTTGCCTTGATTTAGGACTTTTTCTGTTCTGTAAAACTATAAAACTTAATGAAACTACTTCTATGTTTGAACATGGAGTTGGAGTACCCTAAATCTGTATTCCCAAGCCATGGGCACTCATAATGGCTCCAGAATAAACTCTTGCTTCCCTTAAAATGAGAGCTGTGGTTATTGCATTGACACTGGTAACAT